GTTGCGACAGCAGATAGCTGCCACCACCCAAACCTGCACTGCTGGCTGGACTGATGGGGTCGATGGGATTGGCCGAGTTCTCGCCTTCATAGTGCATGCCCGAAGACATGGATGCAGGTGCTCCTTGCATGTTGGTGCCAGTTGGGCCTGTAATGCCTTGGCCGGAGTCCAGGGGTACTGGTTCTGGTTCTGGTAATCCAGGGCCAGGACCTGCTTGATCGCCTCCTCCATGATTCTGATGTGGCGCATTGCGATCTCTGGGGATGAAGAATTTTTGTCCGGAGGGAGGTTGAACCTTCTGCCACCCATTGGACTGCCAATCTCGAAAGAATGCACGCCTCTCCGTGATGCCATGGACTTCGACATCCCACTCACCCCATTCCCTCCATGCACGCCACGGGTGGTACTCCATGTCGGCGGGCTCGGCCAGGATCCAGCGTCCCTTGCGGTAGATCTTCACCTCCTCCCGTCCAGTGTCATAGGCAACGCGATGCTCGATCCAGGGCTTCAAGTTTTGTTCGTAGTGATGGTAGTAGTGGTTGCCGGCCACACGCACACGCACACGCACACGCACATGCACACGCACACGCACACGCACACGCACACCCACACACATACACGCACACTCACACGGGCTTGCACGCACCCACACACAGACACAGACACAGACACAGACAGAGACAGACACAAACGCAGACAGGCAACACCAATTTATATAGGAGCCTGATCCAATGCCCCCTTGCCTCACAGCAGGAATCAAGAGTTACCTTTCCCAGTGCCGAATCAAGGGGAGTTTATTTGACAGAAATAGTTACTTCTCACCAAACAGGACGAAACAGGACCTTTCTCCATTTTACTGAACCCCCCACCCCAGTGCTAAACAAGAGCCTTGCCACAGCCAAGCCAAGTTAGACGCGGATGAGTCCGCGCCTCGGAAGCTTCAGCCTCCTTGCGCCGAAAGTGGCTCACGCAAAATCCCAGGATCACAAGCAAGCTGCCCAGCAGCTGAACCTAAGCCGGAGGTTGAATTAACCCAGCGAAAAACCCCAATAGCAATAATTAGCAGCGGGCTTCTTGTGGATAGTCAAACAGCGTCAGACCCTGCAGGTCACGCCAGCATACCGCCAGGGCCGCGCTCGGAACTGGGACATGGCCAAGGCACACAGGACCACCGCAACACCAAGCCACTGGGACGGAACAGCGCTGGGACGCCAAACCACACCCGCGAACACCACCGAAACGCCAGCGCGCCACCATTCGGTAACCAGCAAAAGCCAGGGCTGCAACGTTAACGTGGACGACCTCCACAACACTGGAACGCAGCCGAGTCAAGTACTCAGAGAACAGGGACACCGGCCGGAACCTCGGCAGGCCGCCGACTAGGAATTAGAAGAGAGACTTCAGCGAAAATTGACCAGGACATCCGCTGAAACACTGCTGGACCCACACGAGGCCCGCACTAACATGCCTAGGAGCCTATAGGACACTTAAGCAAACAGCACTCTGGCACCTCCAGCTCGAAAGTCGCAACTTTTCAGCACACGTGCAGCATGCAAATTGCACTTTGTCATGACAACTACTCCGTAATCCAAGCCAACCATCCAAACCAATCCCCATTGACACCCCCATTATTTGAACACCCCATCCACAAAGTCTGGTAGATCCCTTGTGGAAGGGCATCTAGCTTTAGCCGAACCGGTGGGGATGAATGATCAACAAGCATGGATGCTATGGTTTCAGACCTGGATGCAGTGTCACTCCCATTCCCCCAAAGAAGACCCATAAAGTATCTTCGACAAAACCATTCTCTACAGACCAAAAGGGTCCACGTCGGGCAGATTCCATGTCGGGTCTCCATTTCCGCTTGCTACTCCCTTTCCCTTGTCTCTTCACAAATGCGCGGTCAAGTATGATCCTGACTCAAAAAGAACTGGTGAGCTCGCAATTTGCCCAGAACAATGCTTCAAGAATTTGAAAGGCGGACATCCTCCTTCTCATTTACGGCAACAGGATTGCTTACCCTTCAAATACCACCCTCTTTTTCCCGAATCGGTTTTGAGGAAGCGACTCATCTGGGCTGTCCTCAGATCCCCCGCTAGTCCAACACTTTTCGTGGGTTAAGTTCGGAAATCCAACCACTAATTAAACCCAATACAAGCAACACAAAAAGACAAGGAACCGGATGGCTGGGGCAGGCAAGTCATGTGGTGTTTAACCATATCCAAAACAGAAAATCCCAACAACCCCTCACTAAAATCAAATGCACCAAAATATTGGCAACCATATCTCCTTCTGCTCTTCCTCCCTTCCACTTCTTCTCCACCACCCCTCACTAAATCAAATGCACGAAGAATATTGGCAACTCCTAAAAACAACAACAAAAAAAGAAAGAACCAGGAACCGGATGGCTCCCAGCCAGTCATGCGGTGTTTCTTGGTGCTCTTCTCTTCGGGGCCCCGGGCCATGGTGGCGCTGGCGTGCAGCAGCACCGCGTCCAGCAGCAGCGACAGCGGCAGCGAGAGGCAGGCCGCCATGGCCGCCATGGGCGCGCCCAGCAGCGCCGCCACCGAGAGCCAGCCCAAGTTCAGCATCAGAGCGCCTCACCGGGAAATACGGAAATTCCGCAACTTCTCCGCGCGCTTTTTTGGAGCTGCCGCGAAAGTCGCTTTTGATTGTTTCCTTTTTTTTGTTTGAGTTGTTGATGGTTTTTCTTAGTTGTTGATTGTTTTTCTGAGTTGTTGATTGAGCGCCATCTTCCAAATTTGCCAAACTCGCCTCAAGTTGACAAAGCGGGAGGGGGTTCAACGCTTCAAGGGTGGGGAGTGGGGGGTTCAAACCGAGAAAGAAAAAAGAGGGAAGGAAGACCAAAGTCAACAAAAACACTGGCTGCGCAAAAAGTTGTTGCTCCAAGTCGGGCGGAAGCCCGTGCCAAAAAACTATGGGAAAGGATTCATATCGCCAAAAGCCAAAACACAATGGCAGTGCAACATGTCTAGGTCCTGAAGTAGAGAGGTTAGAATAAGGGTACCAGCGTTTTTTCTGTAGTCTATTTTTAGTAGGGGAACCCTCCCCCAAAAAAGAGTAAAAGGGCACTACTGGAAGACCTAGATGTTCATGGTTAAAATGTTCAATCTGTGGAGAATCTGCCCCACTGAAGCCTTGGAAGCTGCACTAAAATGGCTTAGACAGGGACTGCTTGGGCAATTGGGTGTGGGCACCTTGCGAGGGCATGTTTTTAGGATGGGCCAGCTGCTGTTGGCCTTACAGTGTCCAATACACGCTAAGTATTTGGATCAACAATTGATTAACCAAATGCAGTATATATATATATGTATAGACACGTGGCAGTAGACATATGAATACATATCTATTATATATAATATATATTTGTGTATCCTGTACATATGTGGGATTCTATGAAGTACGCATGTACGTTCGTACGTGTGCGCTTGCACGCATGTGTGTGTGTGTGTGGTGGTTGTGATAAGTTCCTTTGTCTTGCAACGTCGCGAGGAACAGTTACTTTCGCAGATCTTTCGGGATTAAGGCAGGGTATTCAACGGTTGCCTCGCCAGGCTTTATCAACAAAACCGAGCAAGCCGCCAAAGCAACAAAGGGTCTTAATCAGCTTTGGTAAGAAGGATCAACATAAAAGATATACTGCATTCACCTGTCACAGATTTACATGATCCGGTTACGCAAACCTTCACGAACAGAAACAACTACTTTCGCAACTCTATCGCAAATTCTCAACCATAACCAATGGTCACCGCATAAAAACCTGCTTATAAGGCCCTTTCGAACGCCCATGTGCAAATTCAGGTCCATCCGTGCGCCAGAAAGCTGCTGCGCCTAATCCAATTGCCCACCGACCGTCCACTTTCATCCGAGCAGCTCATGCCCATGAAGACCGAGGCCTTGGACGGGGCCATCGGCAGCGACACCACCTCCAGCGCGGAGAGGGCCACAAAGACAATGCAGGCTCCTGGCCACGGGACACGCGAAACTTCGCGGACGTCGACATCCTTTGTGCACCTTTCTGGGGGCAATTTCTATGACCCTTTTGGGGTTAGGAGTCTTCTGTTTCAAGGGTAAGGATGTTTTTTTTCGGGGTTAGGAGGGTATGTGTTCTGGGACCAGTTTGGACCTCCAGAATCCTTCACCTTTGACAGGACAAGCTTCTGTTTTTCGAGGTAAGCAGTGCCGTGCTGTTTGGAAAAAGGTACCCCAGTCAGTGTCAATTCTAACAGTTCTAGTTGCACCTGTGCTAGGTAACGAGCGGCCATCATCAGTCCAAACAGAAAAACGCATGAGGAACCCTGGTCGCATTTGTAAGTGGTAGCTGCGTTGGCCTGACATGTTGCAAACAAAGCTGGCCTGAATCGGCAAAGTAAGCAGTCGCAATCAAAGTGCTTGGAGCAGTGCGCATTGAGGCCAGGTAGCAACTCGACAGAATGAACAGAACCACAAAATCAGCTTGGCTTCCAGCTTGGTGTAAGGCTGGCTTTCCCATGGTGCGTTGCAGCTGCATGATACTCACGAAGGCACTGTCGGACTCCAAGTCCAATTCGGCTTTGCAACTTGTCACATAGCCAGCACAACCAACAGGCATAACTTGTCCAACCAATAATATCAACTTATCAACATTGTGAACTTATCAACTTATAATATGTCTCTCAACATTATCAACTTGTCCAACCAAACATAACATTGACAATGTGCGCCTCGCCTTTAGGAGCCAACCGTCTTTCCATGTCCTGTCCCGGTCCACGGGTCGGGTCCGGAACTCTGGTTCCATACACTGAGTGACTGAGTGTAAACACGCGCCACGATCTGGTGTAATGCTCCTTTCTGAATGCAAGCTGCCATCTCCAAGAACCGCCAATTCTCATATAGAATCAAACAGGGGAACCCAAAAGGCAAGCTTCATCATGTGGCCATGGGTCAAAACCCCGTACCCCCAGTGAACATCCCAATCCCCACTAAAATAGGTTCTAAAATGGGTGGTGAATTCACCTACCAACCAAAATGGTACCATTGGTTTTGACCCACAGCCATGTGCCAAATTGCATCTCCATTGCATCTCGTCTAGGTGAGATGCGTGCGTCGATCTTGGATTCGTTGCGATCAACTTCATGGTGCTCCGCCGCGCTTGTGGGAAAACCACACACACACACAGCTTAAGCAGTACAGATTGGGCCTTCGGGGTATTTTTGAATGGGTGGGGGAAAAACGACATGTCCTTTTGAATTTTCCCCGAACATGGTCTTCCCAACAAGTATGAAGTCCAACTCAGGGAAGCGTATCCATGTTCCTCCCCTTTCCGGAAAAAACTCGACCCCGACTCAGCCGACCCAGCCCCTCCGCCGCCCCTCCCCCAAAACCCGCCCCCCGGCCCCCGTCCTAGGCTCAGCACGCCCTCTATGGCCATCAATGGCACCAGCTGGCACTTCTCGAGGTCCAGAAACCGCGAGGTGAAAATGGCCAGGCCCGAGAACCTGCGGTTTTTCTCCGTGGGGGTGTTCCATGGCTTTCCCCGCTTTTGTTTTTTTTGTTGTGTTTGTTTTTTGGAAATGAAAGGAACCGTCACATGGCAGGAGTTTGGAGCTTGGGGAAACCAGCACTTCCATGGAACAAGCAAGGAACTCATTGATGAATGGTGTGAGTCTTTAAACAAAGTAGCTCATCGAAAGCAAGACAACGGGGATATTGGCAAACGAATCAGAATCAAGAGACTTCCCTGATCCCGGAAGGAGCTGCCGCTGCTGCGTGAATTGCAAAGCCATTATGCTAGATGCCACCCAAAGACTCAAAGGGAAACGCAGGGACTCTGAATATGAGCGTGTCTTCAAGTAAGGTTGATGTCCAACTGGTTTCCTTGACATTGACCAACAAAAGTCGGATTCTCATGTTGAAGCACAGCTGTCGCATGGGGCATGCAAAGCCTATTCTACTGGCACCTTCTGTTTGTTTCCCACTTGCCACGGCGATGCTTTTCTGTCAGGGAGCAGCGTGGTGGCCGTGAAGCAGAGGAGACATCCCCACCAGGTATTCTCTCCGTCGGTGCTCTGCAAAGCCAGAATGGTGCCACCAAGAGTGATACACCCACCCAGCCTGGGACAAATGGCCATGGCTTGTTGCCACGCTCCAGTCAACAAACACTTCGGCAAATCTTGCAATAAGTCCGAAACCTGAAATAAGGGTCTCCCAAGTAAAGGATCTTTACCCTGGTGAGCTCGTTTTACCCCAAATCGGGAAGCGTGCCACAAATTATGCAGATTGACAAGTGGCAAGGACCAAGAATGACCCCATATTCATCAACCCCAGTTTCCGACTCCCCACTAAGCCTAGGCACACCCCCTCTATTAAACCGGGGTTTGAAAATATGGGGTCAACATGCATCTTCCAACGCAAAGGGCAGGGCACATAGATTCCTTGTCACATCAAGCAATGACTTCAGAAGTCTCTTGCGCAACTGGCCCCTGACTGGACTGTGTTGGTTGACAGCGAGGCAACCAATGTCCTTAAGGATGAGAATGCTTGGCAATGCTTGGCGCGGACTGCTGATTCCAAGCCAAGGGTTTAACAAGTAGGCTGCGCTATGATCGCAAACAGGACTCTCTGCTCCATACATCTGGCACCCGTAACCTTCAACGTGCCTCAGTTGACTTCCACCAAGCAGCGTCGCTGCGAGCGTCGGGGCTTGCAGCGTCACGATGGCCTCCAAGCACAAGGCGGCGAGGATGTCCAGGTTCCAGAGCAGAGTGTTGATGGCTGGGGTGGTGCCAGTCATGGACTTGTACCACCTCTTGTTTCTGAGACCGCTTCAATTTGGATTGCTTCGATTCGGATGGCACTGCAGAACAGGCTATGGCATCGCATTGGATAGCAACCCGCTAGTAACATTCTATCATGCTGCCCTGAGGGGCAGGGATGGCAGGCTGCATTCGCTTCTCGTGGTGCCCTATTGCCCAATAAAGCGCTTCACAAGCAAAATTGCACTTGCATTTGGGGACCAGGGGCGCAATTCGGACTCTGCAACCTACGTTAGGTTCTGCATGCAAGAGCTTTAAAAGCACACTGAGCATAGCTAGGCGCGAGCCTCTGTGCGGTCGTGAAGGGGCGCGATTCATTTGCCAGCTCAGAACCTCTTGCGTGTAGGAACATTTGTCGGTTCCCTCAAATCCATGGTCCTTTCCGAGACCTTCATATTTGAGGTCTTGGGCTCCTAGGGAGACCCATGGAGACCCACAAAAGCCAAACCCGAAAAAACCTGGCAACAGTGACTTGGTGACTTGACTTTGGCTTCGCTTTCCCCTGGGGCTCCCTGCATGGTGTGGACCACCAAGTTGAGCACCGTCACCAGGGACGCCATGAACCACACAGAGCCCAGGCACGGCAAAGACAGGGACCACTCCCCGCCCTGCTGCCTTGGCCTGAGAACCCGGCATTAAACATGGTCGATCCGAAGCGCCATGCTTCAAGAACCCAGACGGCGGACATCCGCACCCAGTTATTCCTGGGATTGCCCCTTACCTTGCAATTACTCCAGGTTTTGGTTGTGACTCATGTGAGGCTTTCAGGCTAGCGGTTTCTTTTCCAGACCAAAAGGAAAGCCTGATATCGAGACTCTGCCTAGTCAACACAAACGCAAAAAAGAAAGGTTCACTCATGTTCAAACATACCCAGGCAGTGTCTGTGCGTCAGAACAAGTCTTCGTCGCTTCAGAGTGGCTCATCAACGGAACCACTTACGCTGCGGTTGTCATGTTTCAAAATTGGCTTGGTTTTGTCTTCCTGGAGTTGAAGCGTTGTGCCTCACAGCATTGTCGTATAGTCAGCACAACTTGGGGATGTAGTTTGTAGAATCACATGGTTCCCGACGGCGGTACTCAGCACAGTCCAACATCTGGGCCATGGTCGCAACACGTCTTTTGTTGGGGGCAGCAATCGAATGGGTTTTCCTAAGGGTGGTAATATCTTCACCAAAGGTTGAGGGCAACAGACACAAATTGTTTCTAGTCAATGAAAACATGTAAAACACAAAACACAGCAAATCCCCCTGCCTGGCAAGGATCCCTCCGATACGCCGTCTGTGGGACTTCTGCGTTTTGGTCTGAAAACCCAGGAGCCCACAGAGCTTCGGGTTTGGCCCCTCCACTTCATTCGTTTGAAGCGATTCAGGGGTTGAAAGTGTGAAACCAAACTCCAGGAAAAAAAAACACAATTCTTGTCCACGTCCCATCGTCTGATTCCCCGATCATCAGCCCACAAAGAAAAGGAAAGCGGCACTTTTGATTTTGGAGGGACACCTCCTCAAATGTCGTCCAACATCTATTTGCTTAAGCTCCCTGGACAAACATCGAACATAGTTCAAGCAGTACTAGATTCCCTTTAAAACCAAGGGAAAATGGGACACCCCCCCAAAATCCCAAAATAAAGGATTTCCTTTAAAACTTAAGGGAAAATAGGACACCCAAATAAAGGAGGGACACCACGAAAGTTCAACTGGGCGTGGCTCAAAAATAGACAGCTAGAGTTACGCAAGTCTTAGTCTTTGGTTCCATTTACCAAGGTGACAGTCTGGTATATTTTTTTTGAGCCACAGCCAACTCTGGCCGTTGTCAAGTCACACCTTTAAAACCAAGGGAAAACCAAGGGAAAATAGGACACCCTCCCAAAATTCACCAAATAAAGGACTCCCTTTAAAACCAAGGGAAAATAGGACCCCCCCCCAAAGAAAAAGAGGCGGGACACCACGAAAGCCCAACTCTGGGCGTCAAAAATCCTCAGCCGGGCTGCACAAAGGCCAGGACCACCCAAAAGCTCTGCGACAACAAGGCCGCCGCCAGCGGCGCGTCGCCCAGGAAATCGGTCAGCGACAGGACCCCGAACTTCTCGGCCTAAGTCCGAAGATCGATCCAAGCTGCTCCGAAGAGGCCAGCCAAACCAACTGGAAAAGGCATGTGGCTATGAATTTGACCTCAGTTCAGTGACCCTGGACAAAAAAGGGAACCGATTCTTTTTGGGGAAGACCATTTTTAGTTGCGCCACCAACAAAAAGGGGAAAAAGGTGCCACTGAACAACTGAGCCAATGACTTGGTTGCTGCAACGACCCCCCTGCAAAAAGTTGACAACTTTTTGGGGGTTTAGTGGAAAACATTTCTCAACAAGTTAAAGTCTAAATAGCAGTCAATAATGTATCCATGCATCTAGCAAGTAAGGTCTCCAGTATCCTTGTATCCTGGTATCTGTTCCTTGTTGTCTCCCACGAATTTTAGGGAAGCCCAGCAATGATCTATGTATCCTTGTATCTGTTCCCGGTCTCCCACGTTGCCATGGCACAGGGAAGTGGTCCTTCCAAGAGGGAACTGATCTTCCAGGTTCCCTCCCACAGATGCCTTCTGTTAGTGGGAAAAAGGCTGAGTCAAACAAGGCCCAAAGCGGTTCGTTTGTGGAGTTTGAGCTGGAAGAACCTTTTAGGTGTTGACACGGAAACGAAATGGGCCATAGCCATTTTTGTGTTTACGTGTGTGCGCGTGTTCGGTAGGGGTCCTGGTCAGCATGGTCGCCTTCCCTTCGGCTGTTTTTGCTTGACTCGGTACCCGTCGAGATAAGTCTTGCTGCTAGCCACACACTTGCGGGCCCTGGCTAGCATAGTTGCATGAGCTTGCAGAGTAGTTAAACATAAGCTGTCTCTCATTCCTATAAACAAAAGCTGACAAGCACCTCTTCACACATCAGCCTTCTGAGTCCGGACCTGTCTAAGGTTTCTCAAATTGCCGTGAGCCAAAGCGGTTCTTGCTATAATCGTTGAAGCTATCCAACTTGTTGTGTTCGAATCGTGCACTGACACGAGCAAACACTATTAACCCCAGAATTTCCGAGACTTCACCCCAGGCTCAACCGCGAATCCAGCGGCGTACTCTGGCGACATCCAGCCGGTGAGCATAACAGCCAAGCTCAGCAGCACCAATAAGGAATGCTGCCGATCGGCCATGGCAAGCCCCGAAGCCTTGAAGGGGAGAAATCAAAGGGCGCCCCCTTTTTTTCTCACAGAACGTTTTCTGTCGGTGGAGCTTGAAGGGGAACCCTTACCCAAAAAAGAAAAAACACATCTTTCACTGGCAACAGAGGTCAGTGGATCTTGCTTCTTTGTTGTTCAGCTGGGCATGATGTTGGCCGGACTTTCCATGTCCATGGCCTTCCGAGCCGAAAGTTCCGAGCGGTGTGTTGCTCGCCAAGTCCGCGGTCAAAAGTGGCCGACCCAAATGTCTCCCGTAATCCGCCCAGCTCCAGCCCCTTCCGTCCCCAAATCGAAAATCAAATCAAAACCCCCACGAGAGGGGGTGCGCTTTGGTGATGCTACCCTGAGGGTTGCTTGAAACGAGGGCTTTCGGGACGTTTCGAGTCCGCGTCTCGTCTCGCGCCTGAAAGGGGTTGGCCACCACAGCCTTGGGGAGCCCGACGAAGGTGTCGGGGCGACGGGACTGCAGCAGAGACGACTCCTGGACTCTTCGAGAGCAAAGTGAGGGGCTCACTATGAGAAGTTCCATGGGAGCTGACTGCTGCAGCTCGTGAGTCAAGCTTATGTGAGGCTTCACCATGCGAGAAACCATGGGAATTACCCTAGGGTTCCTTGCCCGTTCAATCCGGACCCCCCATTTCAATCAATGACAAGGACCCAATTTCAAGGAGAATCCTTAGGTCAACGTTGTGGTGCTGATATAAACCCCCATGTGTTTAATGGCGGTGCGAACCACAGGGAACTAGGGGTTCAAGTGTGTGAATCAATCTGCAAAGACTTCGAGGGCAACATTCAACTGCTAGGCCTTAGGTTGAAGCCACAGCTGCACCAAAATATGGTCTGGGCTTCGGACCTCTGTTACTAAGCGCATTGTGAAGCAGCCAACGGACAAACCTCATCGGCCGGGTCAAAACGTGGCCTTGTCGGTGAGTACCGTGGAAGCTGACTCCGGAAACACTCTGCACAAATGAATCAACAAATTAGCGAGAAGCATGTGAAGCTCATGTCCTGTTCCTGGGCAGTCTGACTGGTCAGGGTGGTTACACAGAGGTCTGCTGGTTGGGGCGTAATCTCACGGCAGGCCTCCCAGCGGGGAATTGCATAAACTAACCGAAACACGGGGGCAAAGTGTGTGAGCCGTGGGATGAGGCGTGGGATGAACTGTCGGAAAGCTTGTTTACAAGGCTGAACTGCTGACTGCTGAGCGACTGCTGTCTCAGGGATCCAGCAGTGCTTTCGCGACCGACATGTTTTGCTTTCGCGGGTTTCGTTTCCTGTAGAACTGCTTTCATTTCCTTTAGAACTGCTTTCGCCGCGCTTTCGCGGCGCTCTGTGCGAAACACACAAATTTGGAAAGTAGGCTTTTGCGCGGCTTTCGCGGCGGGATTTTGATTTGGCACTTTCGCGACAGGCTTTCGCAAGCTTTCGCGGCCTGCATGTTGGCGGTTGCAGGGGCTACTTGTGATTACAAGGGTTTTCGCAGCTCAGTGGGAGAAGCATCAAACGTCTCAGTCCAAGATTAGGGCAAAGCGTGCTGCAAGTCCGAGAAAGAGCCAACGAGGCCGTCCTCACATCCATCGCCCGGTCGAGCGGAAGCCAACACTGGCAGCAAAAGCAGCGCCAGCAACATGAAAGGTTCGGTTGGGCCGGGGGCAACTGATTTCAGTGCCCGGGGACCCCCGGGAACCTTGAGCCGGTCGCGAGGAACCATAGCAATGGCCTCAACAAACGAACCTGCCCGTCCGAAAGGCTGCCGTTCCCTTTCTCTGTGTGTGTGTGTCAGATTGCCAGGAGGGTCCTTCAAGTTTCACACATCATGTTCAAACCCCCGGAGCAAAGCATAGTACCTGGCTCGCAATGCGTGAACTCGACAAGCAAATGAAGAACAGGGAGACCAAATCATGCTTAAACGACTGAGACAGCGTATGCCAAAGTAAATAGATGGTGTTGACACCTGCGCAGGCAACCTCCAAGAAAAACGGTAGAGCGTCAGACAACAGGCTGAGGGGTGGGAAGAGAACGGCTCCCCAACTTCCACCACCTTTACTAGGTCCTCCAGTCTATTTTTAGTAGGGGAACCCTCCCAACCAAAAAAGAAACGGTAAAAGGGCACTGGGGGACCTCCTTTAGCTGCGGTTCTTGGTCCTTGGCCCCCCCGCTCCGCCAGCCCCGGAGTGGGTCTCGTCCAAGATAGAGGGCAAGGACAAAGCCAGCACCGCGAAGATCAGCAGCCCCGTGTTGGTCACGGCGGCCGACCTGGAAACCACAAACGGCCAAGCGAAGGCCGAGCGAAGGGCAAGGCTTCCATGCTGAGAACTGCAGGCGAACGTGGCAAGCGAACCAGTCTGCAAAGATGATTGCCGGTTCCTGCGCCAAGCGCGGTCTGACGGGAAACCCCCAATTTCGTAAGAAGGTGGCGGATTTGCCTCAGGGCCAGAACCAGCCTGCTAGCAAAAGCTGTTGATTCGTGACCAACTCATGCCCCCGCACCTTCAGGGCCAAGCGCTCCCGAGTTGGTTTTACCTAGTCTTTCCCAAAGGGCACTGAAACCATAAATGGATTTCGGCAGAGCAACCTCCTTCAATGTGGCCATGGGTCAAAATCCAATCGCACCCCCAGTAAACATCCCAATCCAACCACGAAATTAGGTTCTAAACTGGGTGGTGAAGCCACCTAATTACCAACCAAAATGGGATCCCAAAACGGCTTTGACAGCCACAGCCATGTCACTTTTCACGAATTGGGCTGCAATTCCATGGCCGAGCGACCCAATGGCAGGCCGACAAGCTCTCCCGCGCCTGTTGAAGTGCTGTTCCTGCGGGGCCAAACACCTTGAGCACCCTATCATCTGATAATCTGGGTGAATTCTAATATTTCACCCACCTGGAACTTGCGGTGGTTGGGGGGCTAATCACATAAACCACCATTTGGGGTGCGGGCGTGTGAGGTCGTTATGATTCACCCAGGATAATGTGTCGCTGAACTAGACCTGGCCCCTGTGCAATGGCAGCATGGCATCATGTATCAGATTATCATGCAAACATCTATTCAGGCCTCTGTTCAACGGCAAGGTCCAGCCCACTCTCCACCCGTAATTACTCCTTGCTTCATGCATCACTCAAGGACCTTAAACACGTCTTATCATCTGACCCACGGTCAGAAGCTCAACATGCCCAATCCTGACAGTCAAACTTTCAAACTCCAAGACTTTCAGCATCCATCAACATTCAGCTCGCGAGTCGCAAGAGTTCCCTGATCATGGCACAGCTTTAAAACCTGTCTCTTTTTGTAGGGAACCCCCTTTCAAAAACCGCCGAGACATTTTGGGCCGTCCGTATCTGACGAAAAACCAAGAGTCACACCCTGAGTCCATCCGTTTCCGACAATTTGCTTATAAGCCCCCCGGGAGCAAAAAAAGAGAAACACAAATTCCAATGGTGAAATCGACGCCCTTAAAAAGCCAAGAGGGGAACATCAAATAGAACAAATATTCATTTCAGCAAATGGACGTGGATGTCTCGCCTTGTGCTTGCAGCCTCCCACCAGAAAGGCAGAGCCCAAGACCTGCGAAAGGCCCGGAAGGCCCGAAACCAGGGGGTCGAGGTTGAGGGAGGGAATTCGGCTCGCTGGTAGGCACACGGACCCGGAGGTGAGAGAGTATTTCAGATCTAATGTTTGATTGCAGGCATGTTGGCTACCCCGGGGCCCCTAAAAGAGCTTAAAGATCGATAGCTCATTTAATATTAAACGGTTGTTCAAATTTTCGGAGAGGGACATGAGCTAGGTGAGGTCAAAAGGTCAAAAGGTCAAAAAGTCAAAAGGTCGGCTTTGGGCGAGTAAGGTCAGGAACTGTAAACTGCCGTGAAAAGCAACATCCAGCTGGAGCCAGAAAGCCGTTTCGCCACTGGGGACCACTGCATTCAAGATACTACACACGATCTGCAGAATGCTCATGCGAGTTCTGCTGCGAGAGTTGATGACTCATCTAGGCTTTGCCTTCCAAACAAATAGCCCGGGAACCACAATGTTGCTGCCAAGGTTGCCTATACTGAAACTAGAGCACTGCCAATCACGAACCTTCGGTGCTCTCGCACCACATCGGGCATGTTCCTCAAGTATTCCAAGCAAGGTACTCTACCACACCTCCGACATCAGCTAAACCAGCCAAACCAGCACATTATAATGAAAACTAGACCAACAGTAACAAAGAAGACACCTCCTAATGACCTCCAAATCGGCAAGCAGTTATATCCAAAACCCAACACGAGCAATGCTGATCGTTGAATACTGCACTCTGAGGCCTTCCCACCGGAAAACCACGCAAAAGGGCGAGTCGGCGTTTGCAAACCAAGCAGTGACCAGTTGAAAGCCTCGGCAAACAAACCCAATTGTGGCTGAGGTCCCCCTTAAGGCCCTTAGGCCGCTATGCCCATCGTGGCACGATCTATCGGTGCCATTCTCCAGCAGAATATGTGGAACGTTGAGAAAAGGAGCCCCTTGCGGGTTGCACTTGGGATCTCAAAGTTTTGCGTTGCTTCCCGTGGCCAATCTACTTCTCCCGAGCAGGTTTTTTCCATTTGATTAAGTCCCCTGGAAAAAGAAAACAACTTCAGTAGTGAAATCCACAGGGGAAGTTAGCATGATGTCTATATATATATATATATATATGCATTTCAGCAAATGGAGGTCTTTCAATAGGGAAGGAGGGAATGAACCCGGGAAAAACCATTTAAAGGAAACCCGCTGGAAGGGCTTGGCGGTTTTCTCTTTCCCATTCCTCATTCCTTGCATCTCTCGAGAGTCTGGCCTCATTATTTTATGATCAAAATCACCCCCTAAATCATGGGTTAATTTTTATTAAAGGGAATCAACCTCATTCTCTGACTTTGATAACCCCTGGAAACGGTCAAAATAATGACCCCAAAGGGTTGTCATCTGCCAGCTTCCTTCAAGCGACAAAAGAGTCGACCGCC